AGCTAACAGTCAGCTAAAGTGGCTGCAGTACAGCACTCTAACCACTGCGCCACCTCGGCTCTTATAAGTTTTCCAGTGTTCTTTTGATCCAGAGGACTAGAAAGATTGGGTGAAATCTTGACGATTCCCTGTAATCTGCATCTGATCATAGTTTTGCTAATCTCCTTATTTCAACCTTAAGAAAGGGTGCTTATCAGAATTCCTGGCAAATCCGCCTAAGTAGGGGAAGAACCAAGCAGTGTGCTTCTGTATCTGGCCAAAATAACAGACATATTAGAATTCATGACAAAATGACTGTTCAAAGTTATTTACCATAGACAGGTTCAGGTCTACTTTTATAGATTTTTATAAATTGGGAATGCCATGGGTACCACCTTTATCTTTATAAAATAAAAAGAGATTCAGCGCCATTAGTACCTCTGTCAAAGGCCACAGGCTGAGCAAAAACTATTGGCCTGTTCAGTGTGATAAGTACAGCTTCTCGATCTGACGAACCACTGATTTCTTCTCTAAGGGCATTTCTTAATCCAATTCTAGTTTTAAAGTAAGCAACTTGATGGAAGTCGGAGCCAGCTTCTTCATATACCTTTATATATTCAAAACATATTTCACGTTAGAATACAACACAGTAAAAATTAAACCTGATACTATTATTTATATTTATAATTTGTATTATCATTGAATGTATAGATATAAATTAAGAATAATTTAGACTTGTAGTGGCTCAAATCTTTAAGGAAATGTTATTCCGAAGAGCAAGGATGCTTTTACGTTCACTTTATAAGTACCATCAGATGAAGGAAACACAAAGTGCTTTAGCGTCGTCATATCTTACAGAGAAACATATAATAGTAAAAACGAAGAGAGTAGGGCAGTCTGTTGTACACTTACATGGATTTTGAGTTTCCCTGACAAACACAATACATAATATATGACAGAACCTGTATTTCTTTCATTAAAGAATTGGAGACTTGTTTAATATTATGTGGATATCAGTTTCAGAACTTGAAGAAAAACCATTTTTAATTAAAAAGTTTTTTATTTTTCTCTTTCAAATTCATTCACAAATATACACTCTTATAATTACTATTATCATTTATCATTCATCGTTAGTCTTTATCATTATTTTCTTACAAATATATAGAATATAGTTTGGGTCTCTTCCTTTTCAACCATTTTTTCCTACCTCTCACAGATTCTTAGGACTGAGCCTTAAATGCAGAGATGTCCAACCACTGTTCCCTCTAAGGTGCATGGGTGTGCGGCCGCGCACGTGGCAAGAAAACACCGCGCAGCAGTTTCTAACTGCTGCGCAGGGGCCTCAGAAAATCTAGGGTTAGCATGGGCGCGGGGATGGCAGCAGGAGCGTACATGGCACAGCCGGTCTCCTAGGACCTCCTAGGCGCCGGCTGCGCCGCTAATTACCGTCAGTCGCCCCGTGTTCAGCAAAGCAAACGCAGGGAAGTTCTTTGCAGGCGGCTAGAACGGGCCGCCCGCAAAGGACCTCCCCAGACTTGTTTTGATGAGCACGGAGCGACTGA